TGGGGCACAGCACAGTGTCTGAGCAGATGCGTGGTGGCTCGGAGTGTCCGCGCTGGCCAGGGCTGCGTGGAACGGCTCGCTCTTTCTAGCTCTAGTAGTTTATTTCTGCATGTAGCCTGCCTTGAGGCCAAGACTTTGAGTAAGGGAGGAAGCACTTGGGCAGTAAGTGCTGCTGAGACCTCATTAGCTAATGAGGGGGTGTGTTGATCTTTCAGGAACAAAAACAAACATGTTTTCAGTGTTTGTCTCTCCTGTTTTGTGCACTTGGTTACCTTTCCTGTGTTGCAGCATCTGTTTAGCCCTTATTTGGCTTTTATTAGTAGTAGCTGGAGGAGGAGGAACAGAAACTGGTACTTGATCAGCAAATATCAGAAGCAGTGACACGACCCAAGGGACATCTGCAAATGATGGCCAACAAGCAGCAATCACATTTTTTTTATGGATTCAGGTCAGATTTTGTTTGTGGATTCAACACGTGCTGCCCGTCACAAAGCACTGCTGCACAGAGGGCCAAGTTCTCATCTTGCCCCTTCCAGAAGGGTTCACTCCTATGAGCTGTGAACTTGGCTAATATTTGTGTCCAAAGGAATAAAAACGCAAGCCAGAAGTGCTGCTGCAGTAAATTGGTTGCGTTTCGCAATTCCCAGTGACCTCTTTTGCGGTAACTTGAACCACCGCTTTGAGTGGATCAGCTCTGGGATTTGGGGCTTGGGAGGTTTGGACCCTTTGTTTGGCACTTTGCTTTGCCTGGAAACTCCCGTCTTCCAGGGAGGGATCTCGTGTGGTGACACTGCAGGCTGCAGTGGGAACTTGGTCAGTCCCATCTGTGTAAATATATCAGAAACAAATGTATGTTCTCCTGGAGGGAAATGGGGGTGAGCGTCCTCTCTCCACCCCTGTGAGCGCACCACAATTACCTCCTCTTTGAGCTCACCACCAGTGAAACTACACCTGGTTTCAAGATGAGGTCCTTCTAATTACGAGCACTTCCTTGCTCTTGTTTTGTGGCTGTCTGGCTGCCAGCACCCGGGTGTCTGTGTCAAAACGCACGTCCCCTTCTCGTGACGCTCCGTTCGGCTTGCGGGACTCTAGTGAAAAACTGAGCTTCTCCGTCGCCTCGCTCCAGCACCCCTTCTGCGCTCAGACCGTGGGGACCAGGCGCTTCCTCGCCAGGTCATCAGCTTTGGCTTTGCTGAACTTGGCTCCAAGGTCGACGTGGTCATCAGCGGTGAGGAACTCTCAGGTCAAAAGGGTACAAGCTGCAGGTCGATGAACTGGAGGCTTGGATCTTGGTGAGCTCTAGAGAAGTACTGCCTTCTTGCTGGGGGTCTACGCTGAAGATTTGTCTCCTTTTCATTTTTATTCCTGATTTTTTTTTTTTTCCACCTCTCGTTGTGCCACGTCTCTCCCCGCCATTCCCACCGTATGGTTTAGCTTGGCGTAGACGCCAGCTCCTGCTTCTAGTAAAGACAAACCTGTTACCCGTGCTGTTCGCAGCGTGGGAGCGGGGCAGGCAGCAGGCATCTGCCCGAGCCCGCAGCCAGCAAACAAACCGGCTGCAGGCTCCCGGGAGAAGGCTGCTGCCTCAGCCGGGGTTGCCGAATCTCCTTGGAACGGAGACCAAGGCAAGGGCAGCGCAAGTCACGAGACACGTGCCCTCATGCTCATTCCCACCCTGTGGGAAGAGGAAGGGAAACAGCTTTGTTGGATTCTCTGGAGAAGCTTAGGAAGGAATTCATGGTCCCCATCCTTGTTTCCATCCTCTCTTTCCATCGCTGCCCCGTGACAGCTGCCAGACAGAAAAAGGGGGTGGCTATGCCAGGCAGGAGTCTCTGCCCTTCTCCCCGTGGCTCGAAGCCGGTGCCCTGCGCTCCAGCACGTGGCTGTGCAGCCAAGGGGAGGAGATGGAGTTATCCCTCCTCTCTGCCCGCTCGGCAGCTGGACGTGGAGATACCGAGCAGATGGGGAGGTCCTGGGGTTGAGAAAGCTCCGTCGGCCATGCTCTGCCACCCGCGCAGCCGTCCCACGGAGATGCAGGGCTGTGACACCCTGCCCGTGGCCGTGCTGGCAGGGCAGGTCCCTTCTGGCACACAGAGGGA